AGCAGGAAAGATCCTGTGCTGAGCAGGGGTTTATACCCCTTGCAGGCATGTCCTGAAGATCCCCAAATCCAGACTGTCCTCAGGGATGCCATGTCCTGGAGGAACTAACCAGGGAGATGGACATCTCCACAGAGACCAGACACCTCCATGGTATCTTCCAGTCCCCAGCTGCAGTTTGTATGGCCTGCTCACCTAAAGGTACCCACCCTAGCAGAAACAAACACATCTGCATAGGAACCCAAAGGGGAGGAGGAAGGCTTTTTTGTTGAGGTGGTTATTTACCTTCCTGTTTGTTTATAGAATTGGTCCTCAAACTCCCTCAGAGCTTTGCGAAGCCTTTTCTTATCTGCTCTTGTTTCTCTGAGATGTTCAAGCAGAACAGGCCTGTAGAAGAGAGACAAGAACATGAAACCCCCATGTGGCTTTGGGTAATAAGCAGCCTGCTGCTGTGGGCTACAGCAGGCACTCAGTGCCTTGAGACATTCCACCACATTCCTCCAGCTATGGCTATAACTGATTGCACCATCATCACACGCAATAAACAGTTGTGCTCCTTCCCTTTTACTAGTAGTCTCACCTTTCTAAGTGAAGGCAGAGACTCTATGGACAACATGGGAGGAAAAGGCTTGAGTCTTGTTGTGGTCTTAATTCTGTGTGGCATTAATGGTGTTGACAAGGCTCAGCATCTCACAGGTAATGCGTTGCATTTCTGTAACTGAATAAAGTTAGTATCCAAACCCTACTCCTAAAAGCAAACATCACTGTGATGCAGTGGAAATGCTAGTGGTACCCAGAATCAGCATTTTTGGAAGCCATGTTTTAGCTGGTATTTGGAGAATAAGGTTTTTAAGTAGAGAAAGACTTCTGTTATGATATGTGCAGCTGTTTGGGTTGGTTGTTTGTTTGGGTGTTTTTTTTTTTTTTCTTCATAGTAACACAATGCACAGAAATATCTTCACAGCATCCGTGAGCAAACTATTGCATACATAGACAAGACATTTTTATTTACTCTCAAATTTGGTAGAGCCTAGTCAACTCCATTTCTACATCTAAGAGTGCCCAATCAAAACACAAGAAAAAGATACCATCCCATAAGCTATGAGAACACATCTGTTCCTGGGAGGCATATTCCCGAACAAGTGGGTAACAAGTGGGTGAGTGCTAACAGCCCATGTGCATCTTGAGCTTTGTTTTCTCATGCAACCTGAAATTCTTAGGAAGGAGGGTGGTGGTTATGTTTCCTGGGCATCCAGACTCTGATGACTATTCTTACACAAGGAAGAAATTCATTTTAGATGCATTCAGTGGCCTCCATGTGACCATGTATTGCGTGATCCTTCACTCAGCTCTCCTGTCGCTGTCTGCATGCCTCATGTCTCTGGCGTTTTTACATCACTCATACAGCCAATCCCAGTATGTACACACAGGAGCCAACTATCTGCTTGGCCAAACTGTACTTTGTTTTATCACTGCTTTGTAAGAACTTCTTAAGCAGTTAGATATCTAAGTTAGATATCTAAAAATTTTTGCAGCAATTATAGGTAGGGCTGCATATCTTTACTATGCCATTATGCCATCTCTGCCCCTCTGTATATGTAGTTATTTCTCCTATCTGCCTACATTCCTTTGCCTTTTTCTTCAGGGACATGGCATAAAGATGTTTGAATAAATAGCTCAGACCACAGGTATGCTGTCCAAACAACAACTATCCTCTGCCTCTTTTCTCCCATAAGACAACATTGTCTCACTTCTGTGGTACAGAATATGCCCATGAATAATTATGGATCGTGGTTCATTTACAAAAATCTACATGAAATATTTTAAAATATTCAGGGGAGGGGGGAAAAAAAAAAAGACAAAAAAAGACAGAACTTACATTGTTGCCTCATGTAAATTGGACATTGACAAAGCTGTTTGCCTGAAAACTTTCTTTTCATCCAGCGGTGAAACATATGCAGGCTCACTCTCCTCCTGAGAGTAACACAGGTGCTCATCCACAGGGAGGCAGGATATTGGCCCAGATGATACCTCATGGCTGCTCTGAGGATGGTCTTCATCTGAGTCTTCCTCCTCCTGCTTGTAAAATGTAGCATTATTAAATTACAATTTTTGTTTACATTACAATAGTAACAATTAATAGGATGACAACATAAAGAATTAGGATTTAACTTCCTGGATGTATTCATTGAACTAGATTACATGTATTGAAAGCTTTACCCAGGTCTATCTGAGATCTTGTTTGTGAGAGGCCTTGTGGGGCCCACTGAGGTACCGTGTATTGTCCACCATGACTAAACAGGACAGAAGTTGACCCCGCTTCTGAATATCTCCAGCCAGCAATTTATTTCTGTTTACTCAAAAAACCTTTGTAAGTTGCAAAGATTTAAAGACTGTATTTATGTAAGCAGTGCAGTCTTGCAGGAACTTGTACTCCTCTTATATACCATCTACTGTTTGTATTATGTCCAGAAATTCTGACTGTAATAAGAGTTGGAGGTAGAGATTCCACAGTTCTATAGCTGCAAATGTTAACTACAAAAATAGAGTGATGTCGCTGTCTTCCTCATGTTCCTTCACCCTCAGAAGAAAAGTTGAGCTTTTGAAACTAAGCCTTAAACATAGAAACTCCATGGAGCAAAGCTCCTAAGTAGCAGCACAAGGAAACTGCGGTTAAATTTTTAAATAAAATATCCATGTGCATGTGTAAAAAGATCTACATGGGCTGTTTTTTTTTTTTTTTTCCCCAAAGAAATCTAAAGCTCCACTGTTATCTAACACGACAATAATTCATAATTTGTAAAATCAACCCAGCCCCAATTACTATTAGGTTAATTTTTTTGACAGAGCCGTGCTAATTAACTTCCAAATAGCCAGATTCCACTCCTCTACTCACAGTGAGACCAGGACTGTTACATTACATTGATGATATATTATTAATTAAAGTACTACAAATGATATGGATGTGATACATGACTGATAAAAGCATTGCCAACAAAATATAGAATATCGATACAGTGACATTATAGTGCCTCCATGGAAAGAGATGATAGGTTTCAATCTGTGTTGCATATGTTAGCCATAATAGAAAACTAATGCCAGCCTTTGATCTCTTACCCAGTCATTTGAAGTGATTGCCTCAGAAACTGCCACCACACGTCACAACCTCTGGCATGCTTAGAAGTTCAATTTTACAAAGCATTTTCTCTATTTGAAATATCAACACCCTGTATTATCATAGAGTCATAGAATGGTTTGGGTTGGAAGGGACCTTAAAGACCATCTAGTTCCAACTCCTCTGCCATGGGCAGGGACACAGTCTCTTCAAATAACACTAGTTCTGTTGCTGCCAAACTGACATACAGGTTCAAGTCAAATACAGCATTTAGTATGTTTTCTTGACAATGGATATGAATTCTTTGAAACTTACAATTGTTGTGATCAAAGATGGAGTTGCGAGAAGTTTCTTGATAATTCTGTATCTGTCATAAAGGGGTTTTATGATACTCTTTTCTTGCTTAGTTACCTAAAGAGAAATCATAACAAAATATACTCCTCCAAAATTAAAAATAATAAATAAATAAATTTCTCATTTGCTCCTGTAAATTTGAGAAAGGTATTAGAAGACTATGACCTGATGTGTATTTTGCTTCCATAAATATTCTGTGGGAACTCCAGTTTAATCCATACAACTTCTAAAAAAGGAAAATGACAATCTATTTGCTAATGGAAAATACCCAATGCGGATGCCTCACTTCCTTGAGCCACACCACCCATGCAGATAGTAAACTATTCTTTGTCACTTTCTGAAGATGCTAATAGAGTTGTAAGAGTTAATATGCTGCTACTGTGCATTGCATTGATATTGCACTTAACTGCAACAACAGCAACAGGCTGGCTACAGTAACGTGACAGTCTGCCTGGGCCAATTACACTCAGCGGCCCCGTGGGACCGGAGCGCACTGAGAATACAGCTTTACAGCCCTGTGAAAAACCGCCAAAGTTTTTTGCATACTAGGCTAAATTTCTGATTATTTTCCTAGAACCCCAGTACACTCCATTCAAATTAACCTTTTGATAATGCTATGGTGTGGTATGTGTTCAATGACAAAGCACGTCACGGGTTGCTAGTTCAAACATCTAAAGTAGGGAATTTCAGCAGTCAACGTTCAAGTATTGTGAAAATGCATTTTCTGCACCAGGACACGTCTTTGCTAGCAGAGGGACACCTGTTTTGTCGGCTAATGTCACCAGAGTAGCTCCACTCGGGCAGTTGCCAATTTGTCTTCCCCAAGTCATCACCTCCTGGCTTTTGCAAACTGCCTGAGGTTCCCCAGCTCTCTCTTTGCTGGGCTCCTCCAGCTCTGAACTGGGCACAGGGCCTGTGTTTGCTTGCCACTGAGCTTGGGCCTTGCTGGCCTCACTCTCCAGCTGTTCTTGGTACTCAGGATGCATGCAGACTCTTCACCCCCCTTCCCTCAGGAAAATAGATCAATACAGATACAAAGATTAAAATTTGTTTCTCTAAGATATGTGATTATTTAAGTATGCAACTGTTAACTGTGGCGCTTGTCCAGATTGCTTGCTTATTTTCAACAACAACAACAAAAAGAGATGTAAAAATCTTGCCTAACTTCCATTTCCCCACTTTAAATTCTTGACTGTCCCTGAGCTTTCTATGACCTGAAGTCAGAGCTGCTTGGCAGGCCTCGGATTCCCTCATGGCTGCTCAGTATCGCTGATCGCCTCTTTCCTTACACAGCTGGCATCCTGTTTCTTAGCTGGTTATAGCGCTGCTTCAACTGTGAGAAGGAACACCCTCTCTGAACCCGTGCTACAAAAAGCACGCCCGATTATTCTCTTTTCTATCTTTGAATATTCAAGCCTCTTTTACCTCCATATAGCACTAATAACTCTATTTCTCTTTTGTTCTCCTTCTTAGGAAATATAATTTCTTCATATCCTTCCTATATATTCTCTCCATCCCTCAGTTCTCATTCCAAGCCCAAAGAAGATGATGGACAAAAATTATTTTATCCAAGATGCAGGGAGATCAGATTCAGATCTTAATTTTAAGAGCTGGCATATTTTTGGGCATGCACTGATGCCACTCCCCTTTTCCTCTACCACAACAATTACTAGCCAGAAACAGAGACAGTCATAAAAATACAGGCATAGACATTAAACAGGAATTCCTCTGCTGTGTATAGACAAATCTTCAAACCATCATCTCACCAACGGTGACGATTTTTTGTTTTGTACCCACATTCAGCAATGATGTCCCTTGAAAGGATTTTAATTAGTAGTTTTAAGTGCTGCTGTGAAATAAAGGAAAACACAGATGACAGGTCATGTCATTTTTGTATTTTGTGTCTCAGATGGTGCCCTGTAAACCCTTCTCAGCTGCTAAGCTTTCTAACCTTTCATATGTCATAGCACAGCTACAGTATGCACGAGCCAAGTCTGCTGTGGATATATAATCCTCCACCTTTATCATCAAAACCTGCAGCTTCCAATCATGAAGAGACATGCAGGACCACCAGAAACTTCCCTTTTTATTTTTAACAATATAAACAAGATTCATCAGTATCAGGCAGTAACATTTACACCTGAAGATTAGTTTGAAATAAAGTATTTGTTAGAGAAGTTAGACAGCTTTTAATTTACCTATGTTTCCATGGTATACTTACAGGTTGTCCATGAATACTTTCAAAATATAGTAGACATTTCTGAAGACTGATTTTTTCCAAAGCCATTTGTTTTTTTGTCATATCCTATTTAAAAAAGTTATGTATAAGATTATGAGTCAGGATTTCATGACAAGGGTACAAGTAGGTATCTGTTTAATCATCTGTTCTCCCAGATAAACACCAATAATGAATTCTGTTTCTTCCCACACTGAGGGCAATAGGGACTTGACATTGACTTAGCAAGAAGAGTCCAAATTTACATGACTGAAGTTTTAAATGAATCGAAGCACATGTTGCCTCTCAGGGCCTAATGCAAAGGCGATGAGAGCTAGGAGATACTTCTGCTGGTCAGAGGAGGTGCTGGGTTAGGCCTCTACCAGTGTAAAATAGTATTTATTTTGTCTGGCCAAAGTGAAGTCTGTGGCCTGAACTTGCGCTCTTTCTTCTGAATAAAGATGCATAAATGAAAACGTAGTGAAAGGCTGGAATCTTATTTTTCTCAATGCCATTACACAAAGATCTAATACCTGATCGCCTTGATTTCTTTCAAAATTATTATTCCATGAAAGCAATTTAACAAGCTCAAAGTCAGGAAGCAGTATTAGGCTATTGACAGAACACTGCGTTCTTATCTGGAAAGTTTCCAAGGGTACAAACTATGGTCTTAGTCAACAAAGCAAGAATCTTCGTGTGTTGTTGTATCAGAGCCCACATCTGAAACATTTTTCTGGGAATACTGGTTGAGAGAATATCTAAACAAGCAGAGGTTTTTGCCTGAATATCACAAATGTCCAAACTGCATGGACACGGGGTATATCTCTCTCATGGGTGAGGTTTTGGAAAGGCAGGCTCAGAAATGATGACTGCAGCATCTGAGTAGAAGGTGTTGGCATTGAGATCCCACAGATATCAGTGCAGCACTTTCCTAGAACATTTTTCAATGTTTAGGTCACATTTATGAATAGTTGTTGCAACTGAAAAATGAAAGAAATATTTTACTCATCCATTCTAGGGAGAAATCAATTAATGAGATCTGTATGTTATTAACTTCTATTTGCCAAATCAGTTCATAAATCGTGGATAGCATTCCCCATTATATATTAAAAATGATGTAGTGGTAACAAATGAGAACAACCACCTTGCTAGACAAAATACTCAGAAACCTGCAAAAACGCAGAGAGGGCATTCCTCAACTTTTTAATTATTCATCAAGAAAAACAGATTTGCCCTGGCTGTTAAGGGATGAAGAACAGAAAGCTTCAGCTGTGCAAACACAACACATTTACGGAGTGGAACGATAGATTCACAATGAAATGCCTAAATATCCAATCATTGTGATACCATGGCTAACATCTCATAAGTGCTGAGCATACTAGAAAAAGGTGCTACCTGTAAAATGAAATGGAAGAATAATCTGATCAGCCAGCACGACATGACATCCAGACAGTATACATCTGTAGAACCGTTATGGGGGAGCTGCAGAAAGTGCAGCCCTTTACGACCATGGGAACAGAGGTGGGCTTTCTTCTGCAGCCCCAGGTGTTGCTCTGCTGAACACCGAACACTAGCAGCTCACTTCTGTTCAAAAATCACAATATAAATCACTGGTAGCAGAAAGATGGATGTTGATTTTTCAACAATGCGATTTATCAGTGTCGGTGATATACCATTGTATGTATAGGTGTCTGCTGCAGGGAGCACACTATTTAATGGTTATTTCTCTCCTCCTATCCTTTACTCCCGCTTTCCAAGAAGATCTGCTCCTGCCACTTGCATATTTTCACTGGGTCAGAACAGCCAGGAGCACATGAAGCTAATGGAATTTTCCACAGTCTCTGCCAGATCACAGCAGATCTATATGAATTAGGGCCAAGAGTTGGGAGGCGTGGCGAAGAGCTCATCCACCACAATGAAGTAATGCGAAGAAGGGTGGAGTTGGGGGACAGGGTGCCTTTCTGCAGAAAGCCAACAACTAGGGGTTTTTATTGACAACTTGAAGGAGTATTTTTAATAATTAGCCTCTACTTTTTGAGAATATATGAAGCCCTGAAGAAGCAATGCTCTTCTAATATCAAAGGAGTACCTTGCTATTAACTTCAGCAGGAGCAAAAGCTTTTTTGTTTGGTGCCCAAATGCAAAAACAGTGCAGAACCACTAATCACATTTTGCCTTAAAGGTCTGTATGAATTAATTACTCCAATATTATCTGTCATTCATGTTTAGAGAAAAGCTGCTAACTAGAATGTAGGAGTATTATAAAGTAGCTAATTGGTTCACTTATTACTAGTTCTGCAATTAATATGAGGTTAATTCTTGCAAAAACTATTAAGCCTGGAGCAGCTGAATGGTTAGGAGGAAACAGAGAGTGATCATTAATATTGATTTTACACATGAGAAACAATCTCAGGAGGGTCTAGCATTTGGGCCTATTTATTTCATTAGCTCATTTTATTAGCAATCTCAAGATGGGTTTGTATTCAGCTAAGTTCGAAATGGCTGATAATTTCAAAATCAGAGAAGGCAGGTGGACTCACAAACTACAGACCTGTCTGAGACATCTTAGGACTGTAGGCTGCATACAGCAACATGAAATTCAATGCTAATTAAATAAAAACACTGCTTCATAGCCAAGGAAAGCATGAACTGAAGCAGGTCAATAACGAGAGGACAGGTACATAAAGGTAACCAGCCTGAGAAAAGCCTTGCGGGACAGACTGCAAATCTTCAAACTAAATACAAGGCAAAAGTTGTTTGTTGCACATAAAGAAGAAGGAGAGTTCATGTAAAGCCAAGGTAGTAGTTTGGTTTTCATAACTTGGGAAAAAGGCACATAAAATATTGTATACAGTCATCTTCCTCACTAGTAAGTTCCCTGAATGCTTGTGCCTTTGAAGCTTGCTGTTGTTTTTCCAGACAGAAACCACAAACTCTGGGGACAGACAATACGGTGGTGAGGACTGGGCCTGGCTGAGCCCTTCCACTCTCAGAAGCAGCTCTTTGTTTCCATGTGGGCTGCGAGTCCAGGCTCCCAGGGCCTATGAAGTCTGCCACCTGGGGATGTGCGGTGGCTCATTACAAAGCAGTATTTAACACAAAAATAGTCCAAAAAAATTTAAAGGAAGACAACAAGTGGCATGACATATCCATTGAACGATGCCAGTTTACTTCTGCTGGGGGTCAGGCCAAGTCTGACTGTAGCCCCACAATGAAAAGCCACGTTTGCTGGAGAGCCACAGCTGAGCACCGCCGGGCTGCTGCCCCTCCCCACTGCAACTGGGGCAGCAATGACATCCCCAGCCATGAAACACTTGGGAGTTAGGATTTGAGTTTGTTTTTTGGGTATTTGATGGGGTTTTGAGTAAAATGATTCAAATGATGTCTATCTGCCTTTTGGCTCCTGAACTCCTCCATTCATGGTCTTAATCTTTTTTTTTCTTTTCTGAAACCTTCTACCTAAAAAAGAGGTGAACTGTTAAATAAATCACGAGCTACCAGCACAAGGAGCTAGTGATCCTTTTTTTGGGTTACTGAATCATTCACAGGCCAATCCCAATTTTTTCTAGGTCTTCTCATTCAATAACTTTACTCGAAGGCTTTTTTGTGGGCAGGGCGCTTTTGTTCTGAAAACCACATTCTGCTATTTCATATTCAGATCCGATGGTTTGTCCTCTTTAGACATACCAAGTGGTTCAGGATTTTACTCTGCACGTCTTTTAAGGACGCTCATTCTCTCAGCTGTATTTCAGCAGGGTCTTAGAGGCTTTCCATAGCTGAACTTCAGGGGAGAATGCAGCAGGCTTTTATGGAAACACTATCCTTGCCCAAAATAACTAAATCTTGAAAAAAAGAAACATTTAGCTGCTATTAGTTTATGATTAATCTTGCTCACATCCTAGTACAGGATCTAAATGTTATATACAAAATAAAATATATACAGTAACACCAAAGTTGCATGTAGCTGAAATGAAGCCTTTGATCTTTGCCGTAACCAGCAGACATCTTTGATTAATTTCACATCATCAGTGCTATGAACCTCATTTTCCCCCTACAGTCCAGGATGATTCATAATCAAAAACCTATCATTTTTAATGTTATACTTAAGGATCTACTAAAATATATAATTTTGAAATGGATAATTTGCCTTCATATTATTCCTTTTCAAGCTTCTGTTCCATAGCAGGTTTGTACAACTATTATCAAACACCTTTGCTAACATAGTTCTTTCAACACAAGTTGTCTCTACAAGAATACAAGAAGAAAACAAGTAAGATCTTTTAAAAATATTTGACAACATTAACTTGTGCAAACATCTAATTTACATTACAGAATTCTCTGTGAGAATATTTCACGCCAGCATTGCCACTGCACAGATTTAGGAGATTCTCTCTTGGAAAATCAGGAAAAGTCCAATTAATTGAAAAAATGAGTGGGACAGAGATCCATACCCAACTTAGTCTTAGAAGAGAGTTTTTCTAGACAGGATTTTGTCACTGACATCTGTTTTGGTGTCTGATCTCACTCCTTGCATAATAAAAAAAAAAATTAACAACTGAAAATATTATTACACAGTCTGCACTGTTGGGATTTTAGGACTATATACAGAACAGCATGGTTTTGTTGTCATCTTTTGTTTTCTTACACAGGAGTTCTGGTTATGAAACACTTTTTCCATTTCAGGTTTTAAAAAAAGCAGTTTATAAAAAGAAACAATTAAAAAGTCAGTCATGTATGCAGATCTCAAGATCTCAGAAGCACGACATCATTATGCACAGTTCTAGCTTCTATACAGTAACTAGCTGTTTAAGAACCAAGAAACGAAACAAAAAAAACCAAACCAACTTATCTCTGCTGGGTACTTTCTACTACTGAAATCCACTCAAAATCATTTCTTAGTTCTCACATAGTTTGGCATTTAGTTCTTCTTCACTCCTCCTTGCCCTTATCACCCCCTCACCTTTTTTTGTTCATCAGTCAAGAGTCTAAACATTACCGTGAACATTTAGATTTTAGGTCTCTTTGAGGCCAGAATGTATTGTCTTGCTTGGCTGTATAGCATCAGGAATAGCAATAGCATTTGACAACAAAAATAGCCCTCAAAAAAGTATTTTTATGGACAGCGTGTATTGCAGAACAGCTTCAGACAGACCTTATATAGTAGGGTGACACACAGTAATGTGAAGGTACAGCAGAATTTTAAAATATGTACTAGTTTAAAAACAAAAAATAAATTGCCCATCCAAGCAAGCATGTTTTGTGGGATATTGCTCCTAAATTTAGAAGAGTAATGGAGAACATGGAAGAGCAGAGGCAGCATCAGCACAAGGAAACACACAATGTCAGAAGGGCAGAGCAGTCTGGATGGTTGTGCTGTCCATGTGATCATAGCGCAGTGCTATCAACTGGGCAGAGGCTTTCAGCATTTCTCAGGTGAAAGGGGACCTTTATTGTCAAAATAATGTCAGGAACGTTTTTGGTCACACAGCTCCTGTGGACTCAAGACAGGGATGTTTTTGCTGTCATCACCTTCAATACACTAGAACATGTGCTCCCTGCACACACAACCTCAAGTAGGCAGGTTTCAGAAGTGCCTGGCAAACTGCTTTATACATGCATCTCTGAGCAAAAAACGCTCAGCATTATTTGAAAAAAACACCTGCACCTCTTTTTCTGTGCAACTCCGCACAGAAAAGTCACTTCAGAAAACTGCACTAGAGCTCCCATCTTGTTAGAGAGAAAATGCACTGCAGTGCCAGAAGAGAGAGGATGCACACCCGCCAGCATACCCTGAGACGGCTGCACACTGGTTAATATCTGCCTCAGATTATAAAGTTCTGAAAGAAACAGTGATAGCTGTTAAATACCTTAATAGTCTCAGGAAGGTTAAAGTGTTGTCTTTTCTCCTTTAATCGTCTCAATACACTATCCATGGTTTCTTCTACTGAGGGAGCTGGTTCCATGCTTGTGGCCTCCTGTGTCCCAGCCTCTTTAGGAGTCCCAGTGCTTTCACAACGATCATTTCTTTGGGGTACTCTAGAGGTACAGTTTTGCTCTTCTGACATTCTGAGTTTCAGCTCTGAAAGGCAAATTACTTGGCAAGTAAATAGATTAGAAATATTTGCAAACAAGTTTCCTCTGACATTACAAGAAAAAAAACCCCCAAAATATCCCTACTTCTTGCATACAATTATTATCATACCACAGTTGGGTAGGAAAGTAACTCTGCTTCACTTCAACATCTAATATCTTTTACCTGCTTAAAGAGAAATCCAGTGGTCAAGGGATGAGATGTGTCCAGGCCAATGAAACTTATAGCACATATGTATTTCTCTTTTTCCTCCAAGCCCAGCTTTGACATAAAAGGTGTTACCATGAGTGAGGACTGAAGAGGCATGGAGTTAAAGAGTGGGGTCTGTGTAGGAATCAGTGCAGAATTTCAGTGGGAGTGAGGTTAGGAAAGGGGCTTAAAAGGACAAACAGCGCTGGAGAGTATTTGTGGGAGGTTTGGTGTGGGTGGGATATGGAAGCAGAGCTCGCTCTCTCCGCCTTCTCCTCACAAAGTACATGCACTCTCAAGTGGTCTGATGTCTGGATAACTAAGAAAATGTACAAGCCTGCTGAGGCAATTGTTGTCTAAGGATGCAGTCCTTCACAGACGCCTTCCTGGACAAGAGGCCATGTCTCTGCAGTCATCTGCCCCACTGTCCCCCCAGCTGTGCTTGCCTGCCCTCCTGTGCTGCTGCACAAGTGAGGAGGAGAGCGAGGGCGCTCCCCTAAGAAGGGCTGGGGAGGCTAAGCTGTGCTACGGACCCCACCATGCCAGCTGCCGGCCTGCATGGTCTGTATATGTCCACCCCCCCCCTTCTCTAGTGCCATTTCAACCATCCCCCCCCACTTCCAGAGGCTGCATTGCCATCCCAGCCAGGCTGCTGAGCTGGTCCTCACTAGGAGGATCAGCCACTTTGCTTAAATGACTTCCTTGGGCAGAAGAGCACCTGAGCGACCCAGCAGAAGACATAGGTTACAGTGTGTCCTAGCTTCCCAGTCAGCAACCCGCCTGGATGTAATAAAGTATGTAAGTAAGTATATTAGCTTGACATCAAGCCAAAGGCCCTGGAGCTCTAGGGACCCATACAGAGCAACAAGGAAATTGAATTAAGGTCTGAATTAGCTCCCTTAAAACCAGGCTTTGTTCCTAGAGTATGCCTGGCTGGTGAAGGACCTTGGCAAGGCAGGAGACTGATGGCTCCAAATGTGTTAAATTTATTGAAATCTGTGCAGAAACAGTAACATAATTTTTAGCTGTGACAGTCTGATGATACAGGCCAGGTTTGCAGGGGAAAAATAGTCATTTTTATTACACTAGGAAGGATGGACAAGCCTTACAAACTTGAAGAAGGGTCTACAAGCACTTAAGTGCTTTTCCATTTCAAGCGCACCTGTCTCATGAACCTCATGAATCTTGCTTCACGTAAATGCAGTGTCATTATTCAGGATAATAAAATCAAGGGTGTTCACAGGATGAAGGCATTTTGGGTATGAAGGTGAGACTGACCTATGAAAGCTAGACCCCCTGGCTAGCTGAAGCCATGGTTGAGTCACAGAGATAATTTTCAGAAAGTTAACTATGTAGTTTGGCCATTTCCTCTCATTTGCCCTTCCTGGATTTGTAACACAAAGTTCAAGGGAAAAAAAATAAATCTAGTAATTACACAGCCTAGTATTTAAAGGAAAACTTTGCAGAAGAAATTCACTGAAAGCTGAGTTTCTAATTCTTTATTTACCACAATCACACCCTCTATATCTACAATTTTAACTATATCCAAAACAAGTGATGAAACATCATACTACAATTTAATTACTAGTGAGAATCTATTTATAATGGGGAAAAAAGATTTAGATAAAATATAAATAACGTTAAAAGAAAAAAAAAAAATCAGTCCTGGCTACATTCTCCCTTCGGGCAAGCATGTGACGGACCAACAGACGTTAATGGTATGTGGTATGCAGACAGTCAAGGGCAAAACATGACCCTCAAGACCAAATCTAATATCTGGAAAGATCTGTTTTTATGATCAAAAAATAAAAGCTTTAGAGTTGTTCAGTCCTAAAGAAACATTCTGCACCTATATTTGTACTATTACAAGGACACTTTTAACTTTGTAGGTCTGTATTACAGACACTTATAAAAATATTCAGACTAACATTGCCTTTTGCATGAATGCTTATAGTAATGAGGGAGAGATGATGTCTTTTTCCCCTTCCCCCTTTTCAGCCTTGTTATGAGGGTTGAACTGGCTTACTTTAGTCCCTGCTTTTAGGAATCAAGGCAAGGCATATCACCTAACATCTTTGTTGTCCCTGGGAATCTTATTGTCATGCACTAGTGAAAAATAAGCAGAGCACTGAGGTTAGAAAACTAACTCTAAAATATTCCCGGTACACTCATACTTCCAAAAGCTTCAGCAATAAAGTGAAATGACATGCTATTATGTACCTTTGAGCTGCTTACGACCTTTGGCCAAATCATTCATCCATTTCAGAACTTCAGGATTGGAAGTCTTGTCACCATGTGAAGGCTGAATGTAAAGAAAAAAGGAAGAATAAAAAAGAAGAGGAATTGATGGTTATACAATCAAACTGATAAAAACCTATCCACACACAGTGTGCTAAAATATTGTCTGTAGTTCCAACTGCACTGTATCATAGTGTCATGCAGAGCATTTGGCTTGATCATGGTACTTGTGCCACAATGGGGATCTGAGTATTTTGGCTCTGAGCCTAAAAAAACAAGTCCTTGACTAATTGGATAAGTAATCTCAGTGACTTCAAAAGGACTGATCAAATACCTAATGTTAGTCAAGTTCCTAAGTGATTTCCAGGATGGTAACCAAAGCACTCTGTCCCTTGCAGGGATAAGCTCTTACTGCTTTACGACAGGGATTCTCTTGGGAAAAAGCACTTTAAACATTTCAACTGAACTGTTTAACTAATCAAATGAAAAAATCCTGCACAACAGCAATTTCAAAAGCAACAAATAGCAAAAGCTGTGAATATCAGTTCGTTCTTTGCATTTAGAAATTGCCTCCAAATTAAAATCAATTCACACGGGATCTTCAAAACTCAGATATTTAAAAACAGTTTTGCAAAATTAAACCTCTGAAATAAATTCTTTTCTGGTCACAGTGCGATGACTGTTTAAGTATGAAATTTTACTCCTAAGAGTATGTTGTGACCGTAAGGCAGTACAATTCACAAATGTACATTTACGTTTGCAGTCACTGATGAAATTACAAGGTAATATACAATTTGCTGAATTTTCATTTTAATGTAGTCATAAAATATCACAAACTTCCCTGTTTCATGTTGTACACGGATGCTTTGATATGTTTATTCTGCACAATTCATTTTACACAAACTAGGTCAATATGAGGGATGATCTTGCATATGCTGCACAGAGCACACCGTTGACCTCAAACAACCCCCCCACCAGCAGCACACCACAATTTTGATTTCTCTAATTTCTGCCATCAGCTTCCATTGAGTCCTGTACCTTGGAGGTTTATAGGAGTCTGCCTGAACGAAGGAATTTGCACAGCAGAGCAACAGTTTCCAAGCAAATTACTTCTACAAAGTAAATAAGTAGCTTTTCATCTTTTAAATCATTTTGGTTCACAAGCCTGTCAGTTATATTTCACTGATTCAAATTTCTCACACATCTAGAAGATGGATATTGTGCAACAAAGGTAATCCAAAGAAAATGCAAATTACAGTCTCAGAACAACTGCATACACTAAAAGATGATAAAAAGATATTCCCTCATTGATGATTTTCCTATTTCACTTTACCAAAAATACCCTTTTTGCCGATTGTTTTGCATAAGTTTAAATACACTGGGATTCTTGCTTGCCTTTTGTAGTATTTCCCTTTATCTTTTCAATTATTATCTTACCAGGTATTTTTTTTCTTGCTCAAACTTTTCTTCATACTTCCTAATTTTTCTCTTGAGACTCTGAAGATGCTTGGTAAGTTGTGCTACTGTTTGTGGTTCTTTGCACTCTTCACAGTTACATCTAGAAGAACTTCTTGGCCTGCAAACGCCAAAAGCATATTAGCTGGATCAGGGAACTGGCTATAATGGACCATGCCTTGTTTCAGGCACACTTAACATTTTCCTAGCACTTCAGAATTTGCAGCTAGGTTCTTTCAAAGGACAGAGATAGGTTAGTTTTACAAAGTAAGCATAAAATAATTGCTTTTGCTTAAAGATACCCCTAGGGTTTACTAATGAGTTCACCATCTGTCTTTCACTCTCTTTTTTTTTTTTTTTTTAATTAATTGTTGGATTTCTGAATATTTCTCAAAAGTTTAATCTAGTAGGTCACAGCCTGATCCAGTATTTACATTTAACATATTATTTACATTTAACACATTACTTTACTTTACAAATCTTCCAACTGTAACAGGAGACTGTTATGACATGATTTGTAAAAGGAAGCTCAGGGAGTTTTTTATTACTGGGAATAAACGTTATCATTTTGGAGGCAGTTTAGTTTCTGATGTTTACAATTGTAAATCAATAGATCTGATTATCATTTATACGCAGCTGACAGCTATGTATAGAAGCTTTTAAGAAAGTTTGGCAGCTGAAATTTTTAGTATTATACCTTGATAGCCCTTTTTATCTTATATTCATTCATCAGACTAATTACTAACTAACATTTAAAACTGTCCTTGCTAACTATGATTAACAAAGACTTCAAACAATATTGTACTGTGTTATTACTGAAAAAAATGCTAGATCATATTTCTGGTATTGCAAAATAACCATGTTGAAATATGCTACAATATGAAAATTTCTTGTTTATGACATAACAGTAATTGAAAAACATGAAGTCAAAGATCGTGGATTGTACAAAAATTATTTACAATATCTAAGAATTAAAATATATTTTCTTACATCATGAAAGGTTGAGCACTTGGTGGAGAAGGGGCAGACTCTGTGTCTAGATTAAATCTCTGGCTTTGGCTAAAGATAGAGCAGCGTGGTGACAAGAGAGGATTGTCTCCATCCGTAATGTGATACAGCAGTCGACTGGTCCCAAGGGAGTGATGTTCCTGTGGGCTGCTGTCCATGTCATTCTGCCAGTCTCTGTGGGCTGGCACAGGCTCTAGAAAGCAAGCATACACCAATATGGACTGAGGGTCACTCACAAGATATTTAGCTACCTAGATAAATACAGAGCTGTACTTACAGAAGTATTCAAAGCATAAGTATTCTAAGTAAACAGCAAATAGTTCAGCATGTAGTATCACATGCAGGATGAGCATAATACTGAGGATGAGAAAATAGAAAGGACAGTTACTGGCTAAATATAAAGCATTTTTTGAGTTCCGCAGAAGAAGGTGGGTACATGTGTTTGTAAACTATGAAGTGTAATACAAAGATCAAGAGCTTCCCAGAATAGTAGCATTAATTATATTTTATTAATTATATTTTAATTATTATTTATTAATTATAATTTCATAGATCTGTTTGCTTTTAAAAGCCACGTGCCTGAAGAGGACGACAACTGTACAAAACAAGTTTAATTCTGTGATTTAGCGCTTAGTCCTTTGGGCAAGAGAAAGGCAGATCAAAATATAATGTGTCCTGATGCTAAGAACCTCCAGTCTTGCTTGCAGTATCCCGCAGAATTGTGTTAAGTTTGAAGTAACATAGACATAGGTCTAAAGAACACAAGATATGAAAGTAACAACAACCACCAATAACATTCAAGGTAGTTATTCAAGGTAGTGTGCAGTGACTGCTACTTGGAGGAGCCGTGCTTATGATACTATGCTAATATTGTCTTTACTATAAATGGAAACCCTGCCTCAGCTGCCTCAAGAGCTAACATTTGAAAAACAGCGGTACATGGATTTATTCACAGAAGAGCAGGTTTAGAAAAGTTCTTTCACCTTCACTTTCTTTCCATTTTCTCCTCTGTACATGGGACATGACATTCCCATGGTGAGTGGGTATTTCCTTCAGGATTTTAATGGAACCTTTGTAATGCATTTTATTTGACCTCTGCCCAACAGATACTGAAGATACAAATCCCAATTGCTGCACTGGGACAGTGGGGACAAACCAGCTCTGAATGGCACCCTTCATAGAAAGCAACTACTAATTTAAAAAATAATAGTTGCAATGGCCTAAAATACCATTTTATCAGGCACTATCCAACTGTTTTTGCTTTACAGACAACAAAAATTTCAATTGTATAATGTATAATCACAGTTTAATCTGTCATGCAAATGTTACATGTGCCTTTTGTATCTCTAAGTTCATCTGGTCTAACAGCACCATCAATTATAATTGTAATTATGTTAAGCATTTGCACAATGAGACAATGTAGTTGATTATTAATTCTAACCTAGTATCTTTCCTCTAAGCACTTCATACTCTGTAGGTCAAATTCAACTCTCTGTGATATCAGAGCAACACCCAAAATTTTTAAATTATGCATGAGATTCAAATCCTCCCATAGAGCGATCCAGAAAGGCATCTGGGAGAAGCAAATACACAGTCATGGGAAATTATGTACACAGAAAACATACAGTGATAAAGGCTTGAATAAATGTTGTTCTGCAAACAAAAGTGTCTCTTTCTGGCAAGTAATTTTTCCTTACCCTGCAAGACTTAAAAAAAAATTACTAGTTTTGGCTGGTTTTTCTTTTGTGGGGTTTTTTTTTTAACTTTTGACACAATGTTGTCAATGAGAAGCAACTGGCTTGCTTATCTTTGTTTCACCATCTTTGAACTTCAAGAAACAAATAATCACTGTGAAATAGGTTGACTAAGAATAGTTCCACTATTTCTCATGCTCTGTTATTAAAATGAATAATTTTTTATAGTCATATTAAGTAGCAGTCTCTTAACTGTAAAATGTAAATGATGTTATAAAAAAATCAGCCAGTCTGTGTATGATAGGGGCAGGGAAAAAGTTTCCAACCTTTGAACTCTGATTTTCTGTGGACCTAGAAGTACTCCTCTTGCAGGAGGCCGTCTGTACTGCTGATAAACTATGTGGTCACAGACATTTGCTCCTTGTTACGTTTACAACCAGGCAATTCTACTAGGCCCAACCCAGTCTCAGAAATGGAAGACAAGTACACATTCAAGACTAGACACTCCTGGAAGATAAATGGAAAGGACAAGTAGTGGCTGGAGCAGTCCCAGCGTAAAACCAAACACACAGAGCTGCGAGAGTTCAAGGAGGTTTTTTTTATTCGGCTAGCAACTGAAAGGGAGACAATCTGCATGCCAGGTGAATTTGGGAGTATTTCCCAAAGGCCAGGGCTCTTCCATTTCCTTGGCACCAGGGCTTCCTGAAAGCATTGCTCCACTAAAGCTCATGGACTGCTGCAACTTTGTTAGGGCCCTAAGAAAGGTTTTATTCCCAACTCTACGACAGATGCATTAAATGACTACTTGCTGTCCAGAAGTGGTCAGCAAGTCAAACTGATCCATTTAGATGACCCAGTTACTAAAATATCAGAACATGTCAGGATGATGACAAGTTATAACGAGCTCCATTTTTAATTGCAACTTAGGGCCATCATCCTGATTCCAGCTCTGTGCAGATCCTAAAGACACTAAGCATTATCCTGAGAGCAGCCCATGAACTGACCAAACATCTACCGTGTTCATGTATCTCATCTAATTTTAGCCTCTATTTTTGCAAAAACTGGGAACTAAAACTACCTCTAGCCAAGCCAGTAAGTTGCCCCTTATCTGCATTTCCTCCATCTCGTCTACTCACTCCAGCTTAGTACTGACAAGAGCTTACCACAGGACTTAAAGCCAAGATCTAGTATCTTATAATATACAGTATGCTTCAAAATGTGGACTTCAGTCATATGACAAGAAGTCATATGTTACAAGTCTGTATGTGATATTCTTTAAGTAAAAGAATAATACGCTTAAATCCATCGTATATAAAAAAGAATATGCAGATGTAATGTGTTCATTCCTCAACATGTTATGTCTGTGAATGTCAGTATCATAATTTTTAATTTAAAAGACATTTAGAACATCTTGTAGTAAAGTTCAGCTGCTCACTGCTCAAGTCACATATTTGATGTATACCATATCCCAAAGCTATAAGAATAACTCACACTCTGCTTTTCTTCTTTTCCCCTTAAAACCTAGCTTAATACCCCCTTGCAATTCTTTATGGTCTCATTTTGACAGCTCTAATTGAAGTTTTTTCATATTCAAAAGTAAACTGGAAATTGTTGACTTTGCTCAGAGATAAGAATTACTGTTCACTTTAAAATTTGCATCCTGAAATACCCTGTCATTTCACTAAACTGTTCTAGTTTCATTCACCATACATATAATAGGGGTTTTTTTCTAATTTTTGTTGATGAAAGAAGTTAAATAGACTACACAATCATGTTTATTTTAAAAATAATACATTCGTACATTGTTAATATTAAAATTTTTATTGTCTGATTCACTGAGCCACGGCTAGTAACTAGAGACATAGTATATATGGCACATCATCTAAAAACACTGTTCCTAGCCTGGTACAAATCTCTGGACTTCCATCCAAGTTCAAGCTGAAATAGCAAATAGTCCCATGTGAAAACGGTACTTTAACTGAATGTATCAGATGATTTCAGTAGTAATTTAAGAGGCAGAATTATGACTAGTTCTATCTACGCAAAATGGCAACTTATTAAA